ACCCTTCTTATCTTTCTTTCTTACAGTGCAGACGCTTTTCTGCTTGCTCTTTCCTCTGCTTACTTTTTATGCTGATTTTCCTATTCTTATTCTCTGAAAACTTCGAGCAGCGGCTCCTGGACATTAACTTATCACTAGGACAGTTCATCTTCGTAAATAGACGGAGGGTTTCAGCCATATTTCAACATTTTTACGACGACCTCAGTCTTACAGTAGCGTGGCCTAGCAATAGCTAAAGCCTGGTAGGCTACTGCATGCTATTTAGCTTAAGCTAGTTGGGTGCAAAGCCTAAGAGTAAATCATTTCCATGGGATTCGGGAGGACGGATAACAGGCAGATCCCAGCGCTCTGAAATCTGTGATGCGACCGGCTGGCCTGCATTGTTATCATCCAGGAAGAGCGCCTCTTCAACCCCTAAACAGCCGTGGACAGCTGCTAAAGGGAGAATTACAAACAATCCTCCTAAACCACCAAGTGTGCCAATCCAGAACAGATACGCTCCGCTGACCGAGAACCGGAGATCTGATGACCTGGATAACCCGTCCTCTTCACACAGCAGGGTAAGGACCAATAGCTACTCCAAAAGTAAAAGGCTAGAGGGAAAGCTAACGACTGGGCCTGAAACTCTGATTGTGGGTGACTCTGCTGTAAGAGATGTAAAAGGTCTGTGTAGTAAGAACAACACCAAAGTACTCTGTTTTCCCAAGGATGTGGTCTCTGACTCGGCTGAGAAGATCCTGCATATTGGGGCTGAACATCCGACTGTGAAGAATGTGGTACTACACATTGGAACAAATGATGTTGTGAAACAACAGTCAGAAGTGCTGAAAGAAGACTTTAAATGTTTGTTGGAAACTGCCAGCTCTCTAAATGCAGAGGTGTTCATCAGTGGCCCTCTACCGCCAGTCAGAAGAGGAGTGGAGAGATTCAGCAGATTGTTTGCACTGAACACCTGGCTTTCAACTGTCTGTATTGACCATTCTGTCCATTTTATTGACAATTTTAACTTTTTCTGGGATCGCAGACATCTTTTCAAGGCAAATGGAGTTTGCCTGAACAAGTCAGGAGTTAAATTGTTTATCTCTAACATATTCAACTGCCTGCGTTATCAATCTGTTCCCTCTGCCGAGGACAAGCGGCAAGAGGAATCAAAACAGGAGAAAGACACAACACATCACGCAGAAAACCCTGAAGAATTATCACTGCACCCGCCTGAGGAATGTTCTGATTATGGGAGACCTATGAGACAAATGGAGGAGTCTCCACTGCCCGTCACCACCCTCCCCCCCCCCCCCCTGTCGACGCCTTTGAGGATACTCTGTTCACCCTTTCACCCTCGCCCACCCTCCTGGGGATCGTTGAACACATGAAGGAGATACAGAGGGTTGGCACCGATTCCTTCCTGGAGTTCAAAGACCAAACTAAGGCAATACGCAGGGCTGGCACCATGTCCTTTACCCCCGCTCCTCAACGACGCCCACCAAAATCACCGCAGAGACGCGCAACATCTCCCCCGTCTTCATCACCGTGCCTACGTCAACCACCTCCCCCCCCTGGCAGCATGTCCTCTACCCCCGCACCATCTCCCACATCTCCATCACCGTGCCTACGTCAACCACCTCCCCTCCCTTCAAGAAAGCATCTGCAGTCTCCGAAGCTTGATAAGGTTGTGTGTGTACAAAACGCTGCAAACTGATATCTGCTGGGTCCAGGCTCAAAGATATAGCACTCTCAACTCTTTCCAGGACATGTCGGGGCCCTGCCTGCCTATAGCTTTGCCGATATCTGTGTTGATAGGTAATAGATTAAGAGCGGTGAATCATCTTAGAAACAGGAAGCGCTCAAACGTTTGTGTGAGTTTATCTAATTTAGCAGTGATTCCATGTCAGCCACAGCTTGTTACAAAAAACATGACTGATAGTGTATCTAACAAACTTAAACTAGCTTTATTACATGTCAGGTCTTTGGCAGGAAAAACATTTTTAATCAATGATTTTATCACTGAGCACAATCTCGATTTTATATTTTTAACAGAAACTTGGATTGAACAAAATAACAGTGCAGCTGTTCTTATCGAATCAACCCCTCCCAACTTTAGTTTTATGAGTCAGGAAAGAATGCATAAGAAAGGGGGTGGAGTTGCTATTCTGTTCAATGATTCCCTTCAATGCAGGAAGACATCGTATTCAGCTGAAATGCTCCTCTCGAGCTCTGTTCCTAAATATCTATAGACCATCCAAATACTGTGCAAGCTTTTTTGATGACTTTACTGAACTGCTGTCTATAGTGTGTATTGACTTTGACCGTCTAGTCATTGTTGGTGATTTTAACATCCATGTTGACAACCCCCAGGACAGAGGGGCAAAAGAACTGTTTTGTGTTCTTGATAGCTATGGACTGACTCAGCATGTGACGGAGCCCACGCACAATAAGGGGCACACTCTGGACTTAATTATCTCAAAGGGTCTGAATATCTCTAAGGTTGTGGTGACTGATGTTGCACTCTCTGACCATTCCTGTGTTTTCTTTGAGAGCTCTATTTCTGTTCACAAAAATGTTCAAAAAGAGGTAACCACAAAGCGATATTTAACTGAAAATACTAGGGAAATGTTTACTCAGAATTTCTCTTCCACACTTGCCCCTGCCAACATCTCAGTAAATGAGCTAGTAGATCATTTTAATTAAAAAATTAAAAATGTTATAGATGCCATTGCTCCAACTAAGGTAAAGGAAGTGTCTGGCAAGAAAATATCTCCATGGAGAAAGGCCTTGACCGTGAAAACAGAAAAAAGAGAATGTCGAAAAGCTGAACGCAGGTGGCGAAAAACAAATCTCCAGGTTCACTTTGAAATCTATAAAGAGAGACTTGGCCTTTATAATTTGGAATTGAAAAACGCACGACAATCGTTCTTCTCTGACATCATTACCAAAAACAAAAACAACGCACGTGCCTTGTTTGCTACCGTCGACAGACTAACTAACCCCCCAGTGTCAGTAGCCTCTGAATTTCTATCCACCAATGCAATGATTTTGCCTTTTTCACTGACAAAATTCAGAAAATCAGACAAGCAGTCAGTGCCTCTGCATCAGGAACAGCAAATGTGTTGTCTCTGTGTCCACTTAACATCAATTCAAACACCATGACACAATTCCATCAGATTCATGATAAAAACCTAGAGGACATTATTCAACTTCTGAAATCCTCCTCCTGCTGCCTTGATATTATTCCAACAGGATTTTCCAAAGATGTTTTGCCTTGCATGGCCTCAGATCTACTTCATATAGTAAACAAATCTCTTCACTCAGGTATTTTTCCACAGGCCCTGAAAACTGCAGTCATTAAACCGCTCTTAAAAAAGAATAATCTAGATGCTTCAGTAATGAACAATTACAGGCCCATATCAAACCTGCCATTTCTAGGTAAAATCATTGAAAAAGTTGTTTTTCAACAGTTGAGTAATTTCTTGCATTTAAATAGTTGTTTCGATGTGTTCCAGTCAGGCTTTCGTCCAAACCACAGCACTGAGACTGCTCTTGTAAAGGTCTTTAATGACATCCACTTAAACACAGACAGTGGCAGAACTTCAGTGTTAGTATTATTAGATCTCAGTGCTGCGTTTGACACTGTTGACCACAGCATATTACTCGACCGACTGGAAAACTGGGTGAGATTTTCGGAAACAGTTCTAAATTGGTTTGAATCCTACTTAAAGGACAGAAACAACTTTGTTTCTATAGGTAAATACACATCTGCGTTGACAAATATGACATGTGGGGTACCTCAAGGCTCCATCTTGGGACCTCTTCTCTTTAACATCTACATGCTACCACTGGCTCAGATAATGAAGAACAACAAAATAAGTTACCATAGCTATGCAGATGACACACACATTTACGTAACAATTTCACCAGGAGACTATGCTCCAATTCAAACCCTGAGTAAGTGCATTGAACAAATCAATGACTGGATGTGTCAGAACTTTCTCCAATTAAACAAAGATAAAACTGAGGTAATGGTTTTTGGAGCCAAGGCAGAACGTATAAAAGTTAGCGCTGAGCTTCAGTCTGCAATGTTCAAAACAACAGATAAAGCCAGAAATCTAGGTGTAGTCATGGTCTCTGACCTGAGTTTCAACAGTCACATTAAAACAGTTACTAAATCAGCCTACTATCACCTAAAGAATATATCTAGGATTAAAAGACTAATGTCACAGCAGGATTTGGAAAAACTTGTCCATGCTTTTATCTTCAGTAGACTGGACTACTGCAATGGTGTCTTCACAGATCTCACTAAAAAATATATTAGAAAGCTGCAGCTGATTCAGAACGCTGCTGCTCGAGTCCTCACTAACACTAAGAAAGTGGATCACATCACTCCTGTTCTGAAGTCTTTACACTGGCTTCCTGTGTGTCAAAGAATAGATTTCAAAAATACTGCTGCTGGTTTATAAAGCACTGAATGGTTTAGGCCCAAAATACATTTCTGACCTCCTGCTAAATTATGAACCATCCAGATCTCTCAGGTCTTCAGGGACTGGTCAGCTTTCTGTCCCCAGAGTCAGAACTAAACATGGTAAAGCAGCGTTCAGTTATTATGCTCCAAATATCTGGAACAAACTCCCAGAAACCTGCAGGTCCGCTGCAACTCTGATTACTTTTAAATCCAGGCTGAAGACTTTTCTTTTTGTCGCTGCTTTTAATTGAACTATTCATATCTTAGACTGCACTGTAACTTTTATCCATGTACTTTTTCTTTTAATGTTTAATTGAACTATTCATATCTTAGACTGCACTGTAACTTTTATCCATGTATTTTTTCTTTTAATGTTTATTTTATTAGCTTTTCTTTTAAATGCCATTTTCTTAATGTCTTTCATTTTTTGTAAAGCACTTTGAATTGCCTTGTGTTGAAAAGTGCTATATAAATAAACTTGCCTTGCCTTGCCTTGCCTTACCCTGTTCATGTGGAAACGTCTGCTTTTCACCCTGTGTGTGTGAAGCTATGGAGGGGGATGGGGAGGTGATCATCAGTCCGGTGCAGAACTGCAGCCACTGTGAAAGCGACGAATGCCACGACACCTACGGCAGCATCGTGTGCTACTGCGACGAGGGTCTGATCCTGGCCCGGGACGGGGTCTCCTGCATCAACGCTACAGGTCAGACTGCTGCTCATCTCTCCCTCTCCTCCTCAGCATGTGAAATGAATCCGAATGCAGAAACGACTTAAGCTGATGTAATTGTACCTGTAATAGACTGTGACTCGGTGAATAGATGATGAGTTAATCTGCAGGAGTAATTAGGCCTGGGAGGCTCTGTACTTAATTTAATCTTTATCTAAGGAAAGGTTTTTTATGAATGTCTTAATCATTCCTAATAATAATCAATCCGTAGGATAAGCTAACCCTAATGGAGATGATATACCTTTAGAAGTATTACCTGCTTTAGTCTTGCTCTGTGATAGATCTCTGCGATACATTCAGATTAAAGCTTTTTAATGTTAAGGGAATTAGGCTGAAATACTCAGGGTGTGGATATTCATGTTTTGTACTTACATTATTAATGAAACGTGATTGAATAACGGATTATGCAACATTTTTATAGATAATACTGACCCTAAGTTCATGCGACTGCATATTTTCCCCACCATCTCAACCTTGTGCCGTGTCTTTTGTTAAACTGCTACAAAGCAATGCAAACCCCTCTGGACATAGAAACGCCTCTCCAATTATTCTTTGTAATCTCTTGAATCATGAGCATATGAAAGTATATCTGAAATAAATGAATATGGCAGAATGTCACTTTATCATTTGTAATGGTATCTTAATGACCTAGAGTGTCTCCTTGCCCCATGGTTTGCAAATCTGTTCTCCAAAATGACAAGCAGTAGATGACTGTATGATGCTAGGTCATAAAAGGTCGCTATCTCAATATGGCGTCTCTGGGCGTGAAGATGTGTTCTTCGCTCAGACGAGTGAAATGAGATTTCCCCCGTGCCCATGGGAGGGGAATTGACATGCACCGGCCGTCGCTGCTCCTAAGCTCTGTTGTGTCATCGCTTTCACATCATTGATTAAGTGTGGGATCAGAGTGGCGGAGAGAATGTTAATACTCCTCTGGGGACGATAACAAGTGTGGAATGCTGTTGTCTCCCCTTGTCTAACAGAGGTTACCCGGCTGCCCCCCCAGCCGTCTCTATCCCACCTGGCGCTGGGGCTGTCTGTGGGCACCTCGGCCCTCATCGCCGCCCTGCTGCTGGCCGTCTCCGGGGTCATGATCAGTAAGTGAGGGAGGACAGGGGAAACACATTAACACAAGTGTCAAGACATATTCTGGTATTAGTCTGCGGATACGATGTCAGAGGATTTTAAATTCCATGATTCATGGTAAGACGGCAGAGTTTGTGCTATGTTGCTTCAAAAGCATGCCTTCTTTCAAACAATCATTCAAAATACACATTTAAGTGTTTATTTCCCTTCATTCATCTGTAAGGTTCTGCTTATTTCATCTAAAGTTAGCATAAGATCATTTCTCATTTGTACAGTTAAACATTACATTTAAAATAAATTGTTATATAAAAATATAAATGATTTAATGTAATGAATCAACTGGGGATGTTTAATGTTGATATCCATTACCTAAAATGCTTAGCCTAATCTCCTGTAGTGTGTTTTTAAAAAATACATGGGATTTCACTGAGCATATTATTAAAGCCATTTGATCAAAATGAGGTTTTTCTCATGACAGCCAACAAAGTAAACGTGGGGGAAGTAGGAACGTTAAAGTAGTCCTTGTGATTCTGAAGAGCCCCACTGTGCTGGGTAACGCTAAAGAGGTTCCGTTCCGTTAGTATTTCTTTTTTCTGCTTCTGATTATAAAAAACTGTCTCACAAACACACACTCCAGTCCCGCTCATCGCCCCGAGCAGCTTGTTGTCAGAACAGGGAAGTGAACCTCTCGGACAGCCGCACACATCCTCCTGCTCACCTGCTTTCAGGCTATTACAGCCAGACATGTGCACTCATTGAGCCATCATCTCCTCCCACACACACACACACACACACACACACACACACGCTCCTGCTCTTACAGCCAGACTCCCACCTACACGCCTGTACCATCAGTAGAGGCAGCGGGGTCTGTGGAGGAGTGGGTCTACCTCTGTGATGAATGACACGTGCTAATGATGGATGGCTGCTTAGCCAGCGGCTGACAGCACTCCCCACACACACTAATGGGACTAATGGGTTCCCAGTTCAGGTTGAGGCTGCTTCTAGAACTGGTGTGCGTGCTTGCGTGCTTGCGTGCGTGCGTGCATAAAGGAGAAAAGAGTTTCCACACAGTGGGATGTTCAATGAGCTGCAAAACTCACAATATTCCGTTTTTTTTCCGAGAGAAGTAAAGAAACCAGAAAGTATTCACATTTAGAAGCTGGAAATAATAATGTTTACTTTACAACTAATGAGTATATTATGAAATAGTCTGCAATTAATGTAACAGTTGACAACTAATGGATTGCTCTTTGCAGCTCTACTTGGTCTTATGCTTACGTTGTAATATGAACACATCCTCAAGACACGTTTAAACATAGGGTTAGATTCTGAAACATTATGAAAGACGAATCTGGCATCACATAGAGAGGAATCAATATTTCACAAAGGAATTATTTTCATAAAAATTGCTGTGGAACAAACAAAAGGTCTTGAGAGAAATAACAACTGGTAAGCTTTCCACTTTGTTTGCTTTAGCTGCCAGCAATCATTTCCACAAGAAAGATGTGTTCAAGGTTTTGTTTGCTTTTTGCTAAATTGAGGATTTCCCAACAGTGGGATGAAACGATTGAATGTTCCTCTCACCAGTGTACAGGCGTAAACATACGGAGCTGCAGTCCATCCAGCTGGAGCTGCAGAGTCCAGACTGTAAGCTCAGCAAGCTGCGGGCCTCCACCATCATGACCGACTACAACCCCAACTACTGCTTCGCCGGAAAGACGGCATCGGTCACCGACCTGAAGGAAGTGCCGCGGAGAAATATCTCCCTCACCAGGTACGAGAGCAGAGATTAAAATCACGCCTTGTTGTTGCTTGTCTTGTATGAGCTGAATACACCTGTCCTCTGTGGGGAAGTGGGACCTGACTGAAGCATAACAGTATCTGAACAGACTCACTGTAATTATACAAACTATTTAAATAGGCTGGACTCGTGAATCCAGCCTGGTGTGAGAAGTGGCAGCTTAGTGTACGGGTCTGCTGCAGGGATCCAAGTGTCTAGGGGAAAGATTTTTCGCATGGCTCTTTTAAATGTTTAATCTTTCATGTGCAACAGTTTATCATGCTGGTTCCTAATCGTTATGCTTCATTCCTTTTCCTTGGGACCCAATCTTTTCCAGCATTGACATTATTGAAGTCAAATGAAATGGCTGCAAAAGATACAAAATCGAAATGATTATTTGACATAAACTCTGAATGGATGTCACGGAGAGTTTGGGGCTGAAATACATGTGACCTTGAGAAAACTGCCAAGAGTTTTTCCATGTCCTAGTGCTACAGTGATCATAGTTTGGACATTTTGTTATGCTTTTGGGTTTTCCCTCTTCTGTAGTGTGTTCATATTGTTTTTTTTGCATGGTTCTACAAAGGTTAAAATCCCTGTGTTCCTTCAGAGACATCACTACGTAACACTTAGTTACTTGGTTAGCTCTCCAACACATTGTACGTGATAGGCTAAGGGGCGAGACATCTCTCAGCGGTTGACCAATCACAACAGAGCCGACCAGCTAACCAATCAGAGCAGACTGGGCTCTGGTTTCAGACAGAGGGTGAAAAGAGGTGCTGCAGCACAGGCAGCATGAGGAAAATAACGAGCTTTCTGAAAATGAAGGCATGGAGACATGTCACAGTAGAGGCACAACATACATATATGGACCTGAAAATGAGCATAAGGGGGCCCCTTTAGGACATTTCTTAGTGCTGGTTGCTTCTAATGTATCCAATCTAGGAGACTTGTATTAAAGTCTCAGCTTCACTTCTAAATAGGAATGGAGTTGTAAATAATGAATGTGTTTGTGTGTCTCCAGGGGTCTGGGTCACGGAGCCTTCGGTGAAGTGTACGAAGGGCTGGCAGTGGGGATCCAAGGTGAACCCAGTCCTCTGCAAGTGGCAGTCAAGGTGAATTTACGCTCTAAGGAACTCTAAAGATTTGTTTCTGTCTTCCAAAGGTCAGACTTTGATGTTGATGTGTACAGCCTTTTACAATGCATCAGACATCATGCAACTAAGAATAGGTTTTTATCAGGATATGAGATTATGAGTTGTATCAGTGTTTCCCATACATTGAGTTATTTGTGGCGGGCCGCCACAATTAAATATGGTCCGCCACAAATGGATCTCATTAAAAAGTGAGGTGAGGTGGGCTGATGATCGGAAGGTTGCAAGTTCAAATCCTGCCTGGAACACCACTTGCCCTTGAGTAAGGCACTTAGCCCTCAGTTACTCCAGGGAGGATGTCCCTGTAATTGGTCATTGTAAGTCGCTTTGGAATAAGGCGTCTGCTAAATGCCTAAATTGTAAATTATATTTTTGGGAGAATAAACACCACAGATCCTCAACTCCGGTGTGTCTCACTCATTAACAACGCAACACAGAGCAACAAGAACGTTGTCTACAGTAGCCATTAACTCGCATGTATTATCTTATTTGAGGGGGGGTGGATGCGTGGGCCAACCGAATAGGTTAAGGGGCCTTTGGCTTTTCTTTTTTTGTGCGGTGCCCCCACAAATAGAATCAAATTCCGTGGGAAACACTGTGTATTGTGTCTTGCTCCTGTACTCGCCTCTTTACATTGGCTACCAGTCAATTTTAGAATACAATTTAAAATGTTACTGTTCGCATACAAAGCCTAAACGATTTAGTCCCACCGTACCTGGCAGATCTTTGAAAACCATACACACCCACACGGTCACTGAGGTCTGCTGACAGACTCCTTCTGGTAGTCCCAAAATCGAGGTTGAAGCAGCGAGGAGACAGAGCCTTTGCTGTTGCAGGTCCAAAAGTATGGAACGAATTGCCCCTCCAGGTTAGACTTGCTCCAACTCGGCCTGTTTTTAAATCTCGTTTAAAACCCCACTTATTTTCCCTGGCATTTACAGACCAGGTGACACTGTGCTTTTACATTTGGGTTTTTATCTTACTAGTGTTTTGTATTGTGTTTACGTCATGTAGGAGAGTTTCTCAGTCTGTGGCTTCTAATCTGGTTTCAGTGTCTCGTGTTTTACATTTGTTTCATGTCCAGTCTGTTTTTATGTATTTATGCTATGTTTTTATACAGTTGTTGATGTACAGCACTTTGTTCAACTCTGTTGTTTTTAAATGTGCTATAGAAATAAAGTGGATTGGATTGGATTGCTGTTTTGCAGTTAAAGGCTCTACAGCACGAAAACTGCCACTTCTGTTTCACTGCCTTATAAAGAAATGCATCAGGCTCTAAACACAATTCTGCTCTTTATCAAACTGACACAAAAGAATGTTAAGATCAGGCATGAAGAGAAAAAACAACAGGATGATGTCTTGTTTTTTTTCCATGTAAAAAATAAAGTCAAAATGTCCACTTAATGCTTATAGATGGAGTTATTCTCAAAACCTTGACATTTATGTACACTACTTCTCTCCTCTGTTCTTCATTCTTTGCACTGAGATGTTGTTTGTATTTCCAACAGACCCTGCCTGAGGTTTGCTCTGAGCAGGATGAGCTGGACTTCCTCATGGAGGCTCTAATCATCAGGTAAAGCACCCAAACAATGAAAACAGCTCTGTTTCTCAAACAGTGCAGACATAGCACATTTCTGATACACATTGTTTCCCCTGCTGTGTTTCCGCCCTGCAGTAAGTTCAGCCACCAGAACATCGTGCGCTGTGTGGGGGTCAGTCTGCAGACCATGCCCAGGTTCATCCTGCTGGAGCTGATGACCGGGGGAGACCTCAAGTCCTTCCTGAGGGAGACCAGACCCCGGCTGGTGAGACAGACCTGTATTGAATGGATACTTGTATTGGTTTAACCACCTTTAGCTACAAATGTTCTCGTCACTGAGCCCCAGAATTTGCCAAAATGTGATCCATGTTCTGTTAGATGTTCAACATTTCCCCCTCGTGTTTTATTACCAACATCTCTGGGCCTCATGCAGCAACATTCTCTAAGATTTCTCTCATATTTCCTCTTAATTTAGTGTTAGGAGAGAAGTCAACTCCAGATGCACCAAACATTCTCATCCATCCAAATCTGCTCTCACCCAGGTGTATGGTGACTCCCCTTTGATCATAAATATAAGGGGAATAGCTCATTGTTTATTATTAGGTAGCACCCCTTTAGACTGTGAAAGGGTGGGCATTGTGCCATGTGCAAAAACTCTGGCACAAGAATTAAAGCGATGCCACCAAAAAAGGCTGTAAGAATAATTTCAGCAGTAGAGATTTAAAGACACCATTATACGAACATGAACAAATTAAACTGGGATTTCTGCATCTGAGAGCCGTATGTAACCCATTCAGAAGCTGAAAAAAAACTATTATCCTCCAAGGGGTTTTAAAGTCTTAACTGGGATACATTGAACAATAGTATTTCTACAAAAATCAAGTCTAATCACAGAAATGAGAGTAAATAACAGCATTTTGTTTGTATATCGCTTGCTGAATGAGGCCCAAATCTGCCTCTGATACTTTGACTAATATTGCATTCTGGGTATTCCTCTGTCTGATCAGGAGCATCCGTCCAGCTTGTCCATGGTGGATCTTCTGAATGTGGCCCGAGACATCGCAAAGGGCTGCCAGTATCTGGAGGAGAACCAGTTTATACACAGGTACTACACCAGAACTACTCTGCATATGAATATATAAACAGAGAGATGATGTAAGGATTCTGCTGACCACCTAAACAGATTAGCTATGCACAGATAAAAACAAACAATATACAGCACATATGGGTATGCATATACATATGGAATGCTAATTTGCAAAGAGAAATATTCAAACTCAAATAGCACAGACTTGCCCACATTCACACGCTGCCTTTGCTCAGGATTATGAGTGGTCTGCATCCGCCCAGGCGGATATGGACCCTGCTGCCTTGGCCTCTCGTATGATCGCACAATGGACAGGTGATGGGTTTAGCATCCGAGCAGCCAGATGGGGTAGCCGGCTGGCCTTTTTACGGTCCGAATCAAAGGAACAAGTCTCATTCTATATCCACATTCATAGTGGTTGGTGAACCGGAGGATGTGACTAAATCACTTTGAAATGCATTTCTTGAATCCTTCTCCTCCGTGGATGTCTGTGAGGAAAGTCTAGTACATGTCAAATAGGCCAGTGGTCAAATTGGCTCCCACAATCACATCTGGACGCTTAAAGCTCATGTCTCCATCTTCATGTTTCTGTGCGGCTTGGCCAATGACAAACGAGACCTTGTCTGCCCCAACTTGGCACAGTAAGGCCCATCAATCCATCCCTCTTTCATGCCTTCAAACTTGTATTAAAATTCATCTTTATACTGTCCTTGAGACTCATTTCATTTTTATGGGGGTGTGTTTACTCGGGGTTGAGTAAAGGGCTGGTGGATAAGGTAGGGTGGAGGAGAATGCAGCTTTTCTTAAGGGATTACAGGGTGTGGATGATGAGCTGCAACAGGTCAAATCACAGCTTTAGTGCTGTCTGAGCACTACTTACTCTGGGTGCTGGTATTCCAGGGTACTACATGGAATATAGAGCATATGAGTGTGGGATTGGCTCAGCAATCTACGAGCCCCTACACAAATGTATTTATTCATTATTTTCCCATATCCTCTAGACTCCTGTTCCAGGATAACAGAAATGCTAGCTAGGTCTTCTAAACTTTGTCCTACATGCCAATATGTTTTTCCTGAGTGCCACAGGAACTGTGCATGTGCCATTTCGCCGAAGCTGGTTCGGGTGTTCTTAGTTTCACCAGCTAGACATGACCTTTTACCTTCCCCCGGCAAACCAGCAATCTTTAATGTTGACATCCGTTTTTATCTGTGCTCTTTTTGTCTAGTGGATCGAATAATGTTACATTTTTATAACGTTATTTTACAATAACACAGGTACTGACATTAGAAACTGTAGTCGCCTGAAAAGAATCACTGACTCGAGGAGAGTCAAGTAGTTCAACTTCAGCTGTTTAAAATCGACTAATAACAGGGACGGTAAGTGCTGCAGTGAAATGGGTCTTGAAGCTGCAGTTAGTGTGCTGTAAATAAGGTCTACAGTTTGAAGCCGGTTAACTTTGTTTTAATAACAGCCTGCTCTCCCATCACTGTGCTGCATGTGCTCTGTGTCCTTCCCCTAAGCGCTCAGCGACACACTGTGACAGCTTCTGCTGCATTCAAGGCTGTCCCTGCCTACGAGCAAAACTCATTTGCATGAATTCTTGAGAGCCATTAAACAAGAACTGCTTGGGTTTATACACAGCACCTCATGAGAGGAGAGGAACTAGATAAAGAGTTCATGTGTGTGAGCTGATGCTATGTTTTTGGAGACGCCTCTAAATGGATGGATTCATTCACTTCTTTTTATGAATAGGGAATGTTGTGGCAGGATACCACAATTTAGTCAATTAACTGCAGCTGGTTTGATATCTCATTTATCTCTCAGACATTCATTTAACAGCTTGAGTCCACATTTCACTAAAACTGAGAAGCCACTGGATGCCCAAGACATTGTTTTGTTTCATGCCAAATCATCTATTCTCATACTTGAAGTTGTATTATATTATAATAAGTTGAATTGTTCCAGACACTTCTGGCGCATTGAAGTGGGGCAGCCATGCATAGAGTAGTGCCCTGCCTTAAAAAGCCCTCGGTTTAAATCAATCTGAACTATTACTTCAGCCTCATTTCACATCCGAGTTTCATCAGAGATTGGAGGATAAACATCAAAACACACAAACTGATTGTATCACTGCTAGTTGTTGTATTTCTTGCTCCGGCCCTGTCCCATGATCTACATTGAGCAGTGTCACATGATGTTATTTTGATGTGAAATTCAGGATATTCATCGTCCCGAGTGCACTACTGTCTTTACTGTGATGAGGAGCATTAAAGCTACATTACTTCTTAAGATGATAAGAACGTTTGGCGCCTTGGGAGCCCAATGCAGCTTGTGGGCTCAATTGTGTCTTCCCCAGACATGAACTACTGTATTTCCTCAAACTAGTAGAGTGCAAATATGATTTTATTCTCTTCCAACCCACTCTGCCTACAACGGAACCTTTCAATCTTGTCTATGGATGCACCATGTGGGCAGAGCTAAGGAACAGTAGAAAACCATACACTCGACTTTACTCGCTTGCCCTGGGCAACTTCGTACTTCCACTGAACTTAAGATCCCACAGGGAGCGTCTGTAGGAGTTTCATATGTGGAGCTCTCTTATAGATACACACACACATATGAAACTAGTGAAGGGAGGAGGCCTGAGCAAAGCTGTGTGAATGTTCAGTATGTTTAACTCTTGTACACAGTGCCTTCTAAATATATTACAATACAAAATGTCATTCAGACTTAAAGTGCCTGTGCATCTATGAAAATGACCAATATTGTTGAACCAGCAGTAAGTACATGACCGCATGTATGTGTTTTTCTCCTTTTTCAGAGACATTGCAGCTCGTAATTGCCTACTGACCTGCAAAGGATCGGGCCGTGTCGCCAAGATTGGAGATTTTGGGATGGCTCGAGACATTTACAGGTACAATTCATTCCAACTGATATTAGACAACATGCGAGACTTACACGGCTTTCTCCAAATCAGCACTGGGTTCAGATGAGTCATAATGGGGTTTAAACTAAGTAAGCTCACATCAAACAGAAATAAGACAGAGAAACACTTTTAAAAAACTAATGTGTGGGCATTCATCTTTACCGTGGAGTAATCACCAGGCTGGACGAAAGGACAACATTTGTATTTAGAGATAAAGTGTAAGAATCAAATCCTTTTATTCCGGATGTTGACTGAATACCCAGATCATTGTAATATTTTGAGTTTGCTGTGGAGGTTTACCAATACCATTTCACCACACCGACATCGCTGCACTAAAGAAGAGTTCTTTGCAATGCAACACTTTGTTGTTATGGAGAGGTATCAGAGTGAAGTTGCTGCCAGGTTAAGGAAATGTTTACTGTGGTATTAAATAAAGTCAGAAGTAGCCACATTTCTCATTGATATTGGAAAATCTGACATGTTTGCCACTAGTGGAGTCGCCCCTTAATGGCTATAAGAGAGAATGCAGGTTTAAGTCACTTTTGCATTCTTAGATCAGGAGTTAGCTGCTAAGATGTGTTTCCCTAAACAGCATGAAGGCAACACAATCCAGAGAAAGCCGGTCTCATTTACACTGACTGTTGGATATTGTCCTTGTTATTCCCTTTAGTATCAGTTGGTATAAAGGCCCGGACACACCAAGCCGATTTTGGCCGACGATGAGCATCGACACGCCCTAATCAGATTGGTGTGTCCCGCACCGTCGTGTCTTTTCAGCCGTGCCGACACCTTTTGGGCCGACTGCCCACCGATTCGACATGTTGAATCGGCCAAAGGCTGTCGGTAAAAGAAATCACTCTGATTGGCTGTTCAGCTAGCGAATCACTGCATGAGAAGCGAAACGGAAGGGACCCAAACAAACTATTAAGAAGGCAAATCTGAGATTTCGTTTAACTCCAGCTCTCGACACAGGTTCGGGAAAGCCCCATGAGCTTCTCGCTGTAGAGTGAAAATGGAACGCACACGCCATGTGTTGTTTGTTTATATCACGCAGTCTGTTCTTCTTCTCTCGGTTATCACGCAGTCTGTCTTCCGGTTGTTGCCTCTTTTGAATGACGAATACACACTACCGCCGCCTGCTGGTAAGGAGAGTTATTGCCACTCACGCATGCGCAGTTCGTACGTGCTTCTTGGCCGTCGGCTGAAGTCTGCGGTGTGTTCCAGTACGACACATGGCCAAGACGCAGAGACGCGAGGCGACACAACAGTCGGGGGTCCGTCTGTGTCAGTTCTTTGGTGTCAGCTTGGTGTATCCGGGTCTTGAAGGAACTGACTACCACGATAAGCTTGAGAACTCTGTGTTCAGTTTTTAAGTTATTTTTACTTCACCAGCTCTGTACTTTAAGGTTTATTCCTCGTATATGATTGTAAAGGTCATGGCATTTATCATGAAGACTTTTAAATGCAACTGGGAACATGTTCTTCTCTATCACACTGATGCCTTCTTTGAATGTACATCATCTCATCTGGAGCCCCTGTGGCTTCTCATTATTCTTAGCTCAAACCAATTTCACGTGACAGCGTTCAAATGAATGCACAATCCAGCAGGGAAATCTCCAAAGTCTTTCATCTGGTAAGAAATTAGAGCAGGGGAAATATGCCACAGCACTAAGCTGCATGAACACAGCACTTTCCAGTCATGGAGTGACACAAGAACAAAGTCCTTCTCCAGAAGAGCTGCACAATCCTCCCGGAGGGGCCGCATTAGGTTGCTTGATTTAATTGCTGATGTCAGGTTTTCAGGTGCCTCCATGTGATTTTCTTTTTTATCTTGCAGCCTGGAGCTGTGGTGCCGGACTTGTTTTATTATCATTGTTATCATTTTGAGAGGGAGGGACAGTTGTGTTGCGCCGCTGGTGTGTTATTCTTCCCGTTTCATGATGTGGCCCTCCTGCTACGTGACGAGGGACATGTGAGGCACCGTGAGGCACCGTGACGAGGCTGAATGTCAGCTGGGAGTATTATGGGAGTAGAGCCACAGACGGACCTTTACATGGTATACCATGGATCCCCCCCACCCACTCTCCCTCACACACAGGCTTCCACACCGGTGTTGCTCTGGTAAACAATAGCTGCCAGTCGCTAATCATCCTTAGGTAAACAGCCGCCACTATGAAGAAAGATCCTCTGTGCTTCCAGAAATCAAAGGCATTTTTTCTGAACTGACGATATTCTCATAGGAACAATGGTGTGTGGCATGACTTTAGGCTGACACACACACAGAACATTCATGTGAACAGACCCCACATTGTGTCGTCCTCCCCTATCTTCCTTTCTGCACACTGAATTGCTTTCACACAAAATCACACACATATAAAACACCTCCATTTGTGCTATAGGTTCCCTGGGACTGTGTTTAAGCCTTCCTTAATCTGCGGCTCAGCGTTCAGTTTGTGCTGGTGCTGTTAGCAGCAGTAATAAATATGTCCATAAACTCCATGCTAAGGAAAAAGGTTGACCTCACTGATAGGGGGATTATCAGTTTTATGCTGTACATGTACCATCCCTCAATCTTTTTAAAATATTCCAGCATGTTCAAATGGGGAGGATTATGTACTGAATAGCAATGTACAACATTTCCATGTGTTTAAATCTTCTTTTTTAAGATATGCCTTACTTTCAGAGGTCACAGCTGTATATATATTGAAAGAAAAAGGATTGGAGATTGTGGGAGTCTTTATCAGTGAACTCTTTTCATAACAACACAAGCAGGATCACTGCCACAGCTGTTTGATCGAATCACATCTTCCGAGGACACACCGCCTCCCTGACTCATTTCCTTGATAAGGATAGACAGGGAAATTAGAGGAATAGGCGTAAGTAGGGCACACATAGGGAGATGTTGTTAGGATTCAATACTGTAATTGCAGGCCTACAAATGCGGGAGGGAACTGTTTCCCCTCAGTGCATCGATCGTGTTATTCTCAGCCAGATATTGCGGGGACAAGTGGGACTGCCCTGTGGTTCTTAGCTAATCTGTCAAGCAAACAAACTCAATTAGTGATTGTTTTCCCTTCTTCATTGATTAAGTGCAATTTTCTTCAAGGCTAACTTCTTGTGCTAATAGTTTGCTAAATAAACATTTCCCTTTCAGCCTGACTTTCTGACAGCATATCATCTCTCAACTCACTGCTCTCCCCCAAAGACACACAGATGGAGCTACGAGTTCAACTCAAATGATCAGGGCTGGCTCCTGTTATTTGCCCTGGGTCCATACCATTGCAGTTTCAATACCATTAGACCTGGTCTAAATATCACAGCAAAAAGATAGTTTGAGCAAGATGAAGCTTTGTTTGTCTTTAAACGATAACGACTTGAATCACTGTTTCAGTAAAGAGAGACAGCCAGTGTGAATCCTAATAGGACCAAAACATTGAACTAATATATGTCACAACAAAACCTCCCCAGTTCATTACATACTACTTTTGTAATGCAAAAATACTACACAAAAAGACAAAGCTAATAAAATAGGAAACTTAAAAGCATATTTTTGGAGTATGTTATAAAATCAAAAAAGACCAATCTCTGACATTGTTTCCTGTATTCTCTGGCCTTAAGAAGGCTAGGCATAGCTACATCTGTTTGAGATTCCTGGTGGTAGTTGCTACTTATTTTTGGATTCAATTTGACGGATTACTTTTGAAGCATGCATAGCCCTAGTTTTTAACAGTAGTTGAGAAATGTTTTGCCCATGGGGAGCAAGAGAACAGCTTGAAATCAGTTTGAGATCCACCTAAACTACTGCGAAGAATAATTGTGATGGGTCATGCATCCTTTGGCTGCCATATCTGAAGAGCTTCAGCTGCCAAACCCACATTTGCTTTTTTTGTTGTATGGCAAGGCAAGGCAAGGCAAGTTTATTTATATAGCACTTTTCAACACAAGGCAATTCAAAGTGCTTTACAAAAAATGAAAGAGATTAAGAAAATGGCATTTAAAATCAGTCATTAAAAAGAAAAGCTAATAAAATAAACATTAAAAGAAAAAATACATGGATAAAAGTTACAGTGCAATTAAACATTAAAAGAAAAAAGTACATGGATAAAAGTTACAGTGCAGTCTAAGATATGAATAGTTCAATTAAAAGCAGCGACAAAAAGAAAAGTCTTCAGCCTGGATTTAAAAGTAGTAAGAGTTGCAGCGGACCTGCAGGTTTCTGGGAGTTTTTTCCAGATATTTGGAGCATAATAACTGAACGCTGCTTTACCATGTTTAGTTCTGACTCTGGGGACAGAAAGCTGACCAGTCCCTGAAGACCTGAGAGATCTGGATGGTTCATAATTTAGCAGGAGGTCAGAAATGTATTTTGGGCCTAAACCATTCAGTGCTTTATAAACCAGCAGCAGTATTTTGAAATCTATTCTTTGACACACAGGAAGCCAGTGTAAAGACTTCAGAACTGGAGTGATGTGATCCACTTTCTTAGTGTTAGTGAGGACTCGAGCAGCAGCGTTCTGAATTAGCTGCAGCTTCCTAATAGATTTTTTAGTGAGACCTGTGAAGACACCATTGCAGTAGTCGAGTCTACTGAAGATAAAAGCATGGACAAGTTTTTTCCAAATCCTGCTGTGACATTAGTCTTTTAATCCTAGATATATTCTTTAGGTGATAGTAGGCTGATTTAGTAACAGTTTTAATGTGACTGTTGAAACTCAGGTCAGAGTCCATGACTACACCTAGATTTCTGGCTTTATCTGTTGTTTTGAACATTGCACACTGAAGCTCAGCGCTAACTTTTATACGTTCTGCCTTGGCTCCAAAAACCATTACCTCAGTTTTATCTTTGTTTAATTGGAGAAAGTTCTGACACATCCAGTCATTGATTTGTTCAATGCACTTACTCAGTGTTTGAATTGGAGCATAGTCTCCTGGTGAAATTGTTACGTAAATTTGTGTGTCATCTGCATAGCTATGGTAACTTATTTTGT